ATCATTATCACAAATAATATGATATATAGTATATATATATATACTCATTTCATTAGTTAGTTTATTTTATTTATTCGTATGTCATGTTTTCATGCATCTGAAGTATCCTACCTGAATCGTGATCATTGTGGTTATCCAGGTTCGTGCAGCAAATAACAGTCGCAGGTAAACTAGCTGCTGTCGCACTTGCCACAGGCGTGTGATTGTCAAGTAGTGCGAACAAAATATACAGTCTGTTGTGCTTAGATGCGATGTGGCCTCGTAAACATTTAGTGTATTCGTACACAATTTTGTGCGGACGTGACCTCAATATATGATACAGATACACACTTCGTCTAATCTAGCCGTATATTCGATCCTCCTATGACTTTTAGTGTGGATTTTCACGAAGTATGCAACTAGGCCGCGTACATGGCGCAGTCTCCCTTTATGTACTATGACCCTGTACTTGTACTATGACCCAGAGTTTGTATCACTACTGCTAATATCAACAGCTAATAATACCCCACGGACGTAAACTTATGAACAAAAGCGATCGGAGATAGGCAGAGCCTCCGCCCACCAAGCGTAACAGTCCGCGGGCCCCCATCTGCTGGTACACCCAATATAGTTTGATTGAAATTTTCAGCCCAATGTTGGAGACGAACATAAATATAATCCAGGAATTTTTTTGAACTGAATTTTTGAATGACGTCTGAAGTCCTTTCTAGCATAAAAATTTTGGAATCCAGATCTGGATCTGGATCCCACCGACCAAAATCTAATCGATTGCTTCCATAGAGGCCCAATACCAACCCGTACAAACTAAATTACATCAAAATCGTCCGTAACTTTTTGAGACATCCTGTTGACAGACAAACAAACTAATACTGTAACAGGGGCGAAAACATAACCCCATTGGCAGAGGTAATAATACCCCACGGACGTAAACTTGTGAATGAAGAATTAACGTAGGAATCTCCATTTCTTGGCACTCAATGGATAATATCAGTAGCTAAAGTACAGGATCCTGCGGCGATCCAATCCAGTAAGCGTGGATCCTGATATATTTATTAACATAGTTTAGCAGTGCAGTATCGTGGCCTAGATGGCTATCATGCCCCGTGTATCAGAAAAAATCAGTTATTCTTGAGTGAAGAGTGTAAAGACCATTTGGGCCACGATAGTCCAGTGCTCGGAGGATTCACTGTAATTTAATTCACTGTGTACGTATTATATCAAGAGCGTATTAAGAATGTATTTATTATGCTCTTGATTATATTGTTTATAAGCGCAAACGCAGCACATGGATTAATAGCTGCATAATAGTTTCAGGAGTAAATAAAAACACACAGGTGTGTTTTATGCACTCCTGTTAGTTTCTTATAACTACGAACGCGGTCGGGTGTGTATGCGTGCGCGCACGTGTGTGTGTGTGTGTGCGTGCGTGCGTGCGTGCGTGCGTGCGTGTGTGTGTGTTGTTTGTAGGTGTGTGCAGGCGCGTAGCCCAGTTGATAGCATGTACGGCCGCGGGCTACACTTTTTGGCCAAGTACTCTTTTTTTTTAAAACACCCATAATTCAAATCCATGAAGCTTTGCTGGCTGCGGAATAATAACTGAGATAAATATACCAGTGATGTAATCGATTAGCAAATTGTTGCTCTGGGTTGCTAAAAATTGAAACTAAAAATGTGAAAATAACTGCACACTTGTCACAGACGAGCCACTGCTGACGACCACAAGGCAGTCTACGGCATCAATGAACACATCTACAACGATACTGACCCTCTCTCCGGTGAAAAGCTCTACCGACATCACCTGACACGTCCCTACAACTACGCATACATAGCCGAGATAGACGGGAGAGCTGTAAGTATTCGCGCCATCTCATTGCACTGAATTACCCCAATTATTAGAACACTTTACGGTAGCAGCTCGTCCAATTCACATATTTCAGATGCAGATCTGCGACACAAATTGGCTAGAGCCATTATTAATCCTATAATATCGAAACGAGTTTATAACTGTAAAACCATTTTGTTTGCGTCTTAAAAACCTTATCCATTTCCTTCTAGGTTGCTTTTGACATGTTCACATTTCATGAAGCCAGCAAAACTCTGATAGGCCGGTTTGCTAGAGTCTGTCCTGACAACGAAATTAAAAACCTTCATCGTCGCTTGGCTCAGCATGGTCATAGAGATGTCCTCTCCAAACGCAAAGACATCAAGGAAACAATCTACATGAAGGGGAACGATGGACCTACTGCAAAACTGTGGCCAAACCACGCACTCATTGACATATTTGTAAGCCTACAATCTAAAGTTATATACATATATAATTGTGTAGAAACATTATTGTGAAAAGTTTGTTAAGAAGTGCCATATATGTCTGCATAAACATGACAATGATATCATGCCAACAAACTGGTTTAGTTTTGTTCATTTCAGTAAGATATCATTTTTAGTCTTCATCACAATTATAGAATTGTATCAAGCCAATCAATCTAGTCATACAATTGTATCGTTTACATATTTTCCAGCATATAGCTCTATTTGAATTCACTTCTGCCCGAGACTTGCTCACAAGATGCCAACGGATAACCAGCTTGCTACCATGGCAACTGACTGAAGCCAATAGCAAGCAGAAGTTTGAGCTGCTCACTTGTTCCAGCATTGGCAGACGGCTCTACGGCAGTGAACGAGTAACTATTGACCAGATACCATACATGCCGACTCCCGGCAACTATAGCGTCATCATGGAGAATGAAAACCCACATGTAATAGTAGAGCTATTCCACGGCCGTTATGTATCCGTGAGTTTTGGTTCTGTGCGCGGCGTTTCTGACCCTAATAAACTAACGTGCACCATCAACGTCTATAGCAAAGATGCAGAGACGGTCATTGCTCATGCATACCGACAAATAGCAGACGTTGCCAAACAAAACCTGGATAAAGAGATATATTTCAACTTATATACGGATGTCTGTTTCTCGTTGGACCCCCCAAAAAGAAATGTAATTATTGACGCTATTACGCAGAAGCTTGGATTACGTCCTCTTAAACGTGCACACTACAAAGATCTTCATGTAATCACAGGAAAATATATAGGAGATTCTAAACCTTTGCCTTTACTGCCACTAGCTGGTGTGAAGGTGGTATCAAAGATTTAACCACCGTTCTTGAGAGATTAAGAACATGTGTGAAGAAGAGGCCTGTGCAGCCTCTATGGGGCACAGCTCAACTGAGTTACCCCACGTGGAGTTAGCTTGCTGTTTTGGTGTTGCCATTATATATCATATAAATGTATATGTTCTTCAGGGATTAATATGTCTATCACGTGACAGTGTATTCTTTACGAAATTTGGAGAGAAAACAGAGTATACCACTACTACCATGTATACTCTATATCTTGCATTAATATGTTTTAAAATGTTATTATTTGATATAATGTGCAGTAACTTGGTAAACATTCTAATGTAACCCCAAAGTTAGTTTGAATTATACCATTTCTGGTTACCCACATATTCCTACTAATTTTCTGAAGCCGTAAGACGACCCCATATATTGGGTCACCAATGCTTACTATATATACTGATTGCAGCGTGAATGAATGACAATTAACTTGCCTGTAATACTACACTAAAAACACCTGTATTTACCTCTCTTTTTAAATCTAATAAAGTAAAGTGAAAGTGTATTGGCAGTTTTACATTATACATGGTTTCATGTTACCCATGCCTATACAGTATACACACTATATATATATATATAATAATAAAACTAGAAAGGGCAGTTGTCGCCAACTACATGTATCCCCCGTGATCTAGTTAAGTATGAATGAAATATCTCTGTAAGGACTTAGAAGGTAGGTAAAGTTAAATAAGTCACAAAGACAAAGGTTTGTTACACAACTCATCTGCCTGAGATGTGAAAGTATGTTAAAATTGGTTGCCTTAGGGGTTTTGGCATGCGACACACCTTCTCCCCAAGATGTGTAAGTATACCAAGTTTGGTAGCGCTAGGTCAATTAGGGGCCGAGTTAGCGAGCGGAAAGGAAATATGATCAAGGTCAAGGTAAAAGTCAAATAAAGGTCGCAGTGACCTGGTTTTGGTACGCTGCTCACCTTCTCCCCAAGATGTGTAAGTATACCAAGTTTGGTAGTGCTAGGTCAATTAGGGGCCGAGTTAGAGAGCGGAAAGGAAATATGATCAAGGTCAAGGTAAAGGTCAAATAAATGTCGCAGTGACCTGGTTTTGGTACGCTGCGCACCTTCTGCCCAAGATGTGTAAGTATACCAAGTTTGGTAGCGCTAGGTTAATTAGGGGTCGAGTTATAGAGCGGAAAGGAAATATGATCAAGGTCAAGGTAAAGGTCAAATAAAGGTCACAGTGAGCTGGTTTTGGTACGCTGCTCACCTTCTCCCCAAGATGTGTAAGTATACTAAGTTTGGTAGCACTACGTCAATTAGGGGTCGAGTTATAGAGCGGAAGGGAAAGTGTCTGCGGCGGCGGCGGCGGCTGGGGAGACATGAAACCATAGTATCCCCGCCCACTTCGTCGCGGGGGATACAATTATATATATATACATGTTAGCACCATTTGAAAGAAATTGACTCACCATTTCAAAAAAATCATACTTCACCATCTACTGATAGGCGACATCTACACATATAGACACCATCTGAAATACCTACATCTCATATCACGGAATATCACACATACCTTTCCACGATTCTTCTCGTGTCCTTCAGCATAGGGATCATATGATCTACTCTTACTGCTCCCACCACCTGTTAAATTGAACCAGATTATACTTTATTGGACAAATAGTAAGACATAATTCACCTTTTTACTCACTTTTAAGACTATTATCGATCCCATACACACCACTAATACTGATAGTCATACTGATGTACATGCCAAGCATATTATGCATATTTTCACTTACTCCGGAAGACAGACATGTCAGTCTTGCTATAGTCATAGGGAGAAAATGCAAGAGTCTCAGTCTGAGGGCCAGCTTCGTCCGTCTTGCTGCGCTTCGCTTTTGGCGTGGACACGTTCGGTGATTGAGACACGCTACCAGACTGGAACGGCAAGTCAGTCGCAGGCCGTTTCTTCTTTTTAGAGGCCATCTACAGTGATGGTTCGAAACGAGAGGTCAACGTGTAAGAGAGGGTGGAAATACAGTAAAACCTGCATTAGCGGTCATGTCCACCTGTGTATAAAGGACAGTTCTGAGTCATACCCCTATATAGCAATTATATGGTGAAACTGCGTCAATATAATGCCTATAAAAAGACGTTAACCTTCAAAGACCTGACATTAAATCACCTGACTGTAATGGGCATTTTATTGTTTCCCTTGAATGGCAGTAATATAGTGGAACCCCCTCTATAGAATAAACCTATGTCTATACGGAACACTCGTGGCGTTTCCCTAGAGTGCTAGTTATACAGTGGAACCATCTATATTGAAAGCACACCTGTCTATAAAGGCCACCTGTCTACGAAGGCCACTTGTCTATGAAGGCCACGAAAGC